TATTTCCTATAATTTAATTAGAAAGTTAATTAACGATATAATAGCCAAGGGGAGCATACATAATCTCAAAATAATAATTTCAATTAAATTTTTATAATAGAAGTAATAAAAATAAATCAGGCATTAATTCATTTTAGCTTAAGTGTTTAAGTGTGTCGAAGAGTAATCGTTAATTATCGAACATTCGCATGCACATATCCACAAAACGCGGATATTCCATAATAAATTATGAAAAGTTATTTTACTCAATTCTTTACTAGTTATTAATTTTAAAAATAAATCAGTCTAAAATAATGTATTCTAATTTTTAAACAACTGTTCTTTGCTTTTATTAATAATTTCTTTAAAGTTAGAACTTTTACGATTCTAATCTTTTATTTGCACAAGGAAAAATAAATAACGAGATATCTTTAAGAGAAAGAGAGAGTTTTGTAAGAATGCGATGCATCTTCCTCGCTCGCCGCTTCATTTGATACAAATGGAAGAATTCCTCCCCGCGAGAAGATGCGGCTGACGTCGAATGAAACTTTCACGAGGTTCTATAAAAGCACAAGGAATTCTCGAGACGTCGGCCAGGAATGCTCATGGATCTGGCAGCGTTGATGGATATGCCTCTTAAGCCCGATAAAATCGGATGCAATGACGTCCACGCTTATTTCGCCGTTCTTTCTAGCTTCCACCCATTTCTCCGTCTTCCGTTAACTTTTAGCAGCCTTCTTCCGCGCGCGATTTCGCAAGCCCCACGACTCTCGCAAGCCCCGGCACCGGAGAAAATTGGCGGAGCGCCTTGCAGGCGCTTGTAAAGCTCAGGCTATCCCGAGAAAATGAGAACTCGCGTGATCGCGCTTTGATCACGCAAGAAACCGCGGTGCTGATCGAACGCGGCGTGAAAGCATCCATCAGTGACTCGTGAGATATGGCAAAGTATCGATTCGATGCCGTGCACGAGATTGTACCCGCAACGATGGCCGCCGTTATGTTGAGGCTAAACTACCTTTTCGGTAAGGTCGACAAACTGAATCTTAAGATGATGGTTTTTTTTCATCATTTAATATACATGTCTGTTCTAATTCTCGGATTAATCATTAATCATTAATGACTTATGAAATAAAATGAAATTGTTTCTTAACATTTGACGTAGTGTGGCTACACATCTTCCAAAGCGATTATTATACATTCGGGTAGAACAGCAAGTCACAATAAAGTCAAAACAACTGCAAAATGACAATTTTTGGTCATTTTACCATCATTTTGACGTCATTTTGATTTTGTTGTGACTTTCTGTTCTACCTGGATAAGACTTCGTATATTAACTTCAATCTCATCAACAACTTGTATTCCATTTTTGCTTCCTCTTTCGTGATGAGGAACGAAAGTAAAGAAAGAAATATTTCTTGACTATAATTGCATTCTATTTTGGAAAAGTCAAAAGTCTATAATGGATTTTGGATATTGCAATTTGTAGTTGTATTGCAATTTGTTTATAATACGCGGGACTTTATAACTTAAAGCCGGTTAGATTTTAGTGCGGCGCATGCAAAATTCCGTTAACATAATGTATGCTTCGTATAACATGTGCTTCGTATAAAATTTTACCTCGAAAGAAGCCGCGCTCGCAGTTTTCGCGCGCAGTCGACAGTAGCATGAAAGCCCCCACATTTTACAATGTTAGCGGTCGCATAAATTGCCATATAATTATGCGCTGCGCGTGGATCTTCTGGTTCGGGAAATATAATTACGGGCAGAATGAGTCACGCGTGGAAATTCCTGTGACACACGCGCATAATTACCGGGTCTATAAGTCCGGCAGAGAAGGACTTCACAGTAGATTTACCGAGTTCCGGCATTAAGTCAAACGGCTTCCCGTACATCCAATTGTAAAAGCAAAATGCGAGAATATCCCTTTCCGCGAATTACATTTGCGTATGACTGAAATTGCGCTTCCGGAAGGGAGCAAGGAGTCACGAGGAGTCACGCAAATCGACTGTGGAGGTTTGACTAATTTGAGAATTATTATACCAGGAATAAATTCCTGATGAGTTTTCTCTCCAAACGAGTTCTTATCTTATGTTCTGAAGCAAACTGTTCCTACTATAACATTGATTGAACGTTAAGCAAATCCTATTGTTAGCCAAATTACAGTTACTTTTTTAAAAAATATGCAGTATTTGTGGAAGTATATTCTGCATTATGTAAGTATTGTTTTAATAACGTTATTAATATTAATATTAATAATATTAATATTATTAATTTTCCAGTGGGCGCGTGAAAATTTGGAATCTAAAAGGACGCATGAGACGCAATTTACTAGTAATATTAATTATTGTTAATATTAATATATATATATATATATATATATATATTAATTCCCCAGTGAGGGAGTGGGATGTATTTTACACTCTGCATGGTTTATATTATATAAATATTAAACCAATTAATATTTTTTGTTTTCTGTTTAATATTATTTATTGTTGTACATATCTTAATTTAAAGCATATTAAGAGGTTAAAACTTTAATTTTAATTTTTTTTATAATAATCGGTTCTGTATTAAAATGAGTTTAAACCTCTCATGTTTAACAAGCTGTTGTGAGGTGTAAAATACACGCTTACTGGAGAGTTAATTTTAATATTAATAACTTTAATATTAATAATATTAATATTAATAATGTTATCTAATACTACTAGTTTTTTTTACATATAAAGCGATATACAACGTAGAGAAACATTAAAGACAGATTGAAAACAAAAGCAAACTCTTTTTTATATTCTTTCGTGAATTAATTCATTTCTTCACGCGTAACATTAATGAAATCGTAACTTGCGTTTTAAAAGACTAGGACAGTCCAAATATTACTAAAAATTTGCCGGTGAGTCGTGACGTTGATTGTGTATCTTGTTCGGTCTTTCCGATGGGAGTTCCCGCAATCGTTAGTCGACAATTTCAAGAAATTGCTGTCCCAGTGTACATTTTCACAAGACTGAAATCGTGACATTATTCTTCACGGCTATGAAATGGATGCGTGGTGTTACGTCGAATATATTACTAGCGGTTCTGTGTATCCGCAAATTTTTCGCCGGGTGGTTTACGAAAAACTTTTAGCTCCCCTATGAAATGTTTTATTGCCCGTTTTATTGCTTGTTTTTGTACGTCGCGATAAGCTCTCGTGATATTACATGTTACATATATCGAATTTGTACGTCCGGATGACCGAAATATGAAGAAAGGACTATATTGATACTTCGCGCACATTGATCCTCAGAGTTTCAATTTTTTTCTTTTTTTCTAAAATTCCACAAATTTTAATTTAATTTTTAAAATATATTTGTTTTTATTTGCCTAGTATTACTTTAATGTATTAAAAAAGGTAGACTTAAGAAATCTGTTCGCTCTTTCATGTAATATAATTTTCTATTGGAAAGACACATAACTAATAGATCATAAATGCACTTGACAAAACAATTTATCAAATATCAATATTAAATCGGCGACTAATTTCAACAGATTTCAGAGAGAGAGGCGCAACTTAATAGCGTAGCTAATTAGTTTATGCACGTGTTATTAACCGTAAGTGCTTTGTTGCCAAACAGATATAGGAGTTAATCGTATAGATATGAACTTCTGGCAGAGTTACGGAACAAGAAGATATTCCCTGATTCTCATTATACGTTTGCCGTCGTGTATTGCCCTAATGATAAGCAAGTGTAACACTATATGCTGCTTGTTGATTGATTTTACAATTTACATAATTTGTTATGATATAGCTTAAGCTACTAAGTATTATATTAGATATCATTACTTGTACAAAATTTTAAATATCACAAATCTTTTTGTAAAATTAATTAAGAGAGACCTTTAAATATTATTTATTTTGACTATTATTTTTCTCGCGATTATTGGATACAATTATTGATTTTATTAAAATATTATATATTATAATACAATATAATTATATTATTATATATAGTATTATTAATAATAGTGTAGTCTATAATAATTAATAGGATCTTAAATGATGCTTTTAAAAGTCTTTATCCATACTCCACAATTTTGCGAGGCACAATCATAACTAAAATTTCGTCAAAGTTCAACTAAGTAATTATTCCAATTACTCAAGTTTCGTGCCATTTTCATTTGCGACAATTTGGATTTCTATAGTAGTTTCTACGGGAGCATCTTAACCTGAATCGCAAATTAGCCATTCTAAAATGTCCGTAGACTTTATAAGCTATTGATTTTATAATAGCTGTAACACGCACTTTAATACTTGCACAAGTTTAACCGTCGTCTTGGAGACTATGCAATATCAGCAAAGTTTGAAGACACTTTATACAGATACTTTGGATATAGATAATCATTACCGCTTGGTAGAAGTAGAAGAAATTATACATAACGTTCTTTATTCTTCTACGATCAAGCCAAAGGAGAATTTGTGGCTAAACATAGCAAGGATTAAATAAATAAAATAAAATTCTTATAAAAAAATTAAAATTATGTTATAAAGTATCTTTATAACAAATTTTATTTTACAATTTACGCTTATCTTTTTTACTCTTTAAACAATTTCTGTATTGTGAAAATTTTTATATTCTCATTTTTTATAACAAATTATTGATTTTTTAATTATTGTTTATATTGTATTCTTAAAAGGTAATTAATTGCCGCTAATATAGGTTCGCTGAAAATCTTTAAAATACTACTTTAAATATATTTTGATTGATGACAAATATACTTGTCAATTATTGTACCAATTGTTTATGATCATTTCTATGATCAAAATATGGCTAATAAATAATAATCGTCGACTATTGTATTGTGGCAGACTCTTTAATCATACATGTCAATGGCGTAATAAAATTGTCGAGCATGCTCGTGATAGATATTGAATTATAGCCCCCCATATAATAATTATGTCAGCAATCGAACTTTATTGAATTTTTATTGCAGAATATTTTTCAATTTTTCAACAATTTTTAACTTTCAAAGAAACGCTCACTTACCACATCGATGAGCTGCGAGAGCTTAAGCTTGATGCATACGCGCAGCACGTCCGAGGTGTTCACCACGGGACGCACGAGTTTGTTGTAGTTGGACAGCAGATCGTCGTAGAGGCGTTTCGCGTCCGGATTCCCGGCAACGGCTCCGTGAACGACCAGCGCCGAGAGGAACCATACGCGCAGCGTTTCCCCGATTATGGGGGGCATCATGGTCCCCCGATTCCTCCACCGTGAACGACACGTCCGGCCCCTTTGTACCCTCTTTCGGCCACGCAAATCACGTATCTATGTGAGAAGATGTAAGTCAGCCGCTGTGTTTTTCTCTCGACATTTGCGCGACATGAGCACCGCTTGGGAACATCTTAATCACATGCTAATTTTATTATTTATCGTTAGAATAAATTACAGTGCGATGTAATTTACACACAATATTCTATCATTGATTTTTACTCTCGGAAATTAATTAGCATTCTTAATAAAATTCTTAAAATTCGTATCTTTCCCAGCTCGTTAATTAATTCTCGGATTAAACTTCTTTACAATTAGTTCCAAGTGTATCTTATTACTCAGGAAAATTTTCAAATTTAATTAAAGAGTTGTGAGGAAAAAATAGGGCTTTTTGTCGAATTTTAAGAAAGAAGTTTACAAAATAACCCCAAATTGTTCAAGCGCCGCAAGAGGATGCATAAATCCTGATATACCATGTTATACTAACACACAAGCGAAACTTCAAGTTAAGCCGCTGTGTAGTTACACCTTGCCAGGTGCATACTATATACTTCGTTACGTCCAATTCCCGGTGTACAGTATACCATAGACTGCGAACGGTACAACTTGGTCCGCGGGCGGATTTATGGGTGCAAGTAACGAGTTCAACCCTCTCTCTTCTTCCCTCGCTTTCCCCATCCCCGAGAGTCGTGCAAAAAAATTTCGTTGCTTTGAATATAAAAATAATGTCGTTCAGTGTAAAATGTACATTTTTGCCTGAAATTTAATTTTTAAAACTGTTATTCTTTTGATTCTTGCCTTTTGTTCTCTCGCTAAAGCTACAAAATGTTCGTGGCCGCGAAAGGTTTACTCGCTTTGCGATGAATATTACAAACTTGCAGAGTAATACGAAATGCGATGGTAATCTCAATCCCCGACGTAACTATACGGTGATACGAGCAGTAAACCGGAAGCACGACGGCGAAACGATCCTGTGATCCCGAACCGCGATGCGTAACGACGTTAAAGTGTTCGGATGGAATCGGGCCGATTAACGGTGAATCGACACTTGGCATAGTGCGGGCGTTGATTTTCGACGCGCATTAGAGCGTTAATTCGACGACTGCAAATCGCGCGCCGTCATTGATCGAGAATTGATCGCACACTTCGGAAATTGTGAGGCACTTTACGCGGGCATTTCGTCCGTTTCGACCGGAGTATTAACGGAGTCCAAACGAATAGAACGGTCAACCGCGTTATTACGCGACGATTTCATCGCGAATGCCACGATTAAGCGAGTTAACTGACCAATTTTAAACTCGGATGAAACGAATTTAGTCTTTTTTCTTTATTACGTAAACAAGGATGTTATTATGACAGAATTGCAACGATTACAGTAAATTCATGCTCGCGCGCGCGATGCTCGCTTTTAACGCTTTTAACATTTTATTATCAAGAAAATGATGCGATAAAGAATTATCTGAAGGAAGTTTGATTTGCAACAAATAGAGAGATAATTTTATGTTCTGTAAATTTTTCGAGTTTAACCTTTAAACGCACAATTTTTCGTAGCATTCTGAGTACTTTTAAAATAAATAATTAGCTTCTGGATTTTCCCATCCAGAAAGGCCAGAGAAGATTCTTTCGGTGTGCAAAGCCGAGAGTTTTTGAATTTCATAAAGGAGAGTATTGAAAAGTCACTTTGCATATATGCAAAGCTGCGCATTTAAGTTAGACTTATACAATTTACTAATGTAACGTAAGTAAATAGCTTGTTCAATACGTAATAGTTTTCATTTTATTTTACATTTTACAAAATGATATCTTAACATAATTATTTTGTAATTACTACGGATAATGTCCGTGGGAATGTTTGCGATTATAAATTAATTATTATGACAAAACTAGAGAGAGAGAGAGAGATCTGGTCTATTTTCTACTCTCCACATCTCTACATACTCTCAAGACTTTTGTATCCTGAGATAAGAAAGAGCACGAGTTTATATGCGCATTTACCTAATACCATTATGCAACAAAGTTACTAAGCGAGATAATAGAACCGCCAGTGAAACAATATTTTAAAAGCTTCCGTACTTTCCGCAAAATTTTTTCTATTTACAGAGGAGACAACCGGCGCCGAGATGTCACTTCTATGTAACTAGTATAACAGATGCTTAACCCAAATACAGTTCGCTTAAACTTTCTGGTCCACTTTCAAAGAAAATATTTAAAAATCTAAGTAACCTCAATTTAGACACTTATATATGATAGATAGCCTCATTCCCTCCCTCTCTCTCTTGTATAAAAAAAAATTTTTTTAATTTGCAAATAACAGTGGGCTTATTATTAACGCGGTCATATTTGAGCCAAGCGTTAAATTACCTATCATTGCTGCAAATCGGACTTTTTATATGAAACAAGCATGATCGGATTATATCGAATTGTTATTCTGAAATTCTTGCCGCTATTGTTTGAATCGATTATAAGCAGTTCCTTCCCCGTTAGGTGAGCGACTTCGAGACCGTAACTCATGTCCATGTCGACGCAGTCGTTGTGGCCGATACGCGGGTATTAACGACGAGAATTTACGTGAGTACATACGCCCAGCGAGAGAGAGAGAGAGAGAGAGAGAGAGAGAGAGAGAGAGAGAGAGAG